ATTGGTGGTGAGCTCAATGCAGGCTATACAGAAACTGATATATAATAATGTACACCTGAAATTACACAATGTTACAAACCAATACAACCTCAATAAAATAAAAAAAACAATACTAAAAAGAAAAAAAGTAATGAAACAGAAAACAAAAATACAATAAAAAGGATCAAGCCAGAGATTGAAAGACTAATAAATTTAATAAATCTCTAATAAGAATTATCAAGAAACAAAAGATAAGAGGCTAATAACCAATATCAAGAACAAAAAGGGGGACATCACTAAATATCCCACAGACATTAAAAAGATAATCGTGAAGAATTTTGTGCTAAATGCTTAGAAATTTAGATAAATGGGCAAATTCCTGGCAATATAGTACTTAGAAAAATAGACACAAGATGAAGTAAAAATATGAATAGTCCTATAATTATTAAAGAAATTCAAACCATAATTTAAAAGTTTCACACACAAACACATGCACATGACTCATAGAATAATTATTTCAGTGATAAATTCCACCAACATTTAAGGAATCAATAATGCCAATATTACATGAATTCTTCCAGAGAAATAGGATAGGAAAAGAAGAACCACTGCCCAGGTTTGTTGTATGAGGCCAGCATCGTCTTGATACCAAAATCCAATCAGGAAATCATAAGAACCCTAAATTAAATTTCAATCTCTCTCACAAAGACAGATGCAAAAGTCTTAAACAAAACAATAGTAAAGCAAATTCAGCTTTGTCTAAAAGCATAATTTGCATTTATTTTTGTGGTGAAAGCTTGGTTTAGCATTTGCTATACTGAATATCAAGACAATGTACAGTTATGATAATTTAGACAGTGTAGTATATGGACACATAATTTGACAAAGGTGACACTATAGAGCAGTAGGGAAAGAATGACTTTTTAGTAAATTGGGCTTAATTGGTTATCTAAATTGAAAGAAAATCAAATTTGGCTCTTACACTATACGCAATAATCAATTCGAAGTGGATTGCAGTTTTAAATGTGAAAGGCAAAATAAGAAAGCTTCTAGAAGTTGATACAGGAAAATATCTCCACTACTATAGAATAGGGGAACACTTCTTTCTTTTTTTTTTTAAAGATTGGCAGCTAAGCTAACAACTGTTGCCAATCTTCTTTTTTTTCTTTCTGCTTTTTCTCCCCAAATCCCCCCAGTCCATAGTTGTATATTTTAGTTGTGGGTCCTTCTAGCTGTGGCACGTGGGACGCCGCCTCAGTGTGGCCTGATGAGCAGTGCCACATCCACGCCCAGGATCCGAACCAGCAAAACCCTGGGCCGTGGAAGCGCAGCGCGAGAACCTAACCACTCGGCCCCGGGCCAGCCTGGGAAACACCTTTTAAGTGTGAAACGAAAATCTCAGTAAGGGAATGGATTGTTAAATTTAACTATAATAAAAGTAGGATTTCTGTTCTTCAGAAGACACCACTGAGAGAGTAAAGATGCAGTCCAAAGAGCCAAAGAAGATGCTTCCAATACATATAAATGGCAAAGAACTTGTGCAGAATATTCTACAGAGTAATTTTTAAATAACACCTGAAAAATCTGATTTAAAAATGGGCAAGAGACTTCAACAGGCCCTTCACGTGAGAAGATATTCAAATGACAACTGAACATGTGAAAACATATTTCAGAAGAATGGAGATTATAATCACAATGGAATACCATTACACACTTTGCAGAATGATAAAAATGTAAATAACATACCAAGGGGTTGGTAAGGATGTGAAGCAACTGGAACTCTCATACATTGCTGGGAGGCATGTGAATTGGTCCAAGTACTTGCTATAAGATTTTGCCCACATCTTTTGAAGCTGAACTTATATATGCCTTATGACCCAACAATTTTATTCTTGGTACGTTCACTCACCAAGAGTCTTATACAAGAATGTTCAGGGGTCAGCTCCGTGGCCGAGTGGTTAGGTTCACGTACTCCGCTGCAGTGGCCCAGGGTTCGGATCCTGGGCGCAGACATGGCACCGCTCGTCAGGCCACGTTGAGGCGGTGTCCCACATCCCACAACTAGAAGGACCTGCAACTAAGATATACAACTGTGTACAGGCGGGGTTTGGGGAGATAAAGCAGGAAAAAAAAAAAAAAGAATGTTCATAGCAGCATTACTTGCAGTAGCCAAAGACTCAAAAGGACTCAAATTTCCAACAACAGTAGAATGGATGAGCAAATTTTTTGCAACGAAAATGAACAAATTACAGCTACATACATCAATGTGGCTGAATTTCACAAGTATAATGTTGAATGAAACGTGTCATACATAAAAGAATTAAATATTCTTTTACAGAGAATTCAAAACATAAAAATGTAAATTACAGCATTAAAATCAGTTTAGTGGTTACCTTTAGTGGAGAGAAAGACATAGTGATTAGGAGAAGGCAGTAGAGAAGGCTTCTGAGGTGCTGATAATGCTCTGTTTCTTGATGGGATGGTTGTTACAATGGATGTTAATCCTGTGATAATTCATTGGGATGTATTATATTTTGTGTATTTTTCTCTGCATGTAAGCTATATTTTGCAATTTAAAGGTGTTTTTTTTTTTTTTGAGGGAGGAAATGGTCTCAGAAGGAAAATCTGCGTTTCAAAAAGGTATGGAGAGAAAAGAAAGTAGTAAAAATTAACAAATCGATGGTGTAAAGAAAGATAACAAGTCCTAAACTGTATGAGTTAGAAAAATACTAAACAATGTTTGTAACACAATATAACATAATACAACAAAACACAATGCAATGCATGGAAGTCTGGAGGGAAGAGACTGGAGTTAATACAGTGTGTGTTTTTTCTTTTTTTTTGAAGGATAAATTTTTTTTGGTATTGTTAAGTATAGATACTACAGTTTCAAGGAAAGCCACCAAATATAGACATATATGTCTTCCAATCCAGTGGAGAAGATAAATACAATGAGAAATAAAACCCACAATCAATTTTTTAATAATGGAAGACAAGAGAGAGAAAGATTAGAAAAATTTGAAAAAGTCAGACAAATAGAAAACATAAAATAATTTGGTAGAAACAAATCATATCAGTAATCATAATAAAAGTGAATGTACTTAAGTGTCCAGATAAAATGCATGTGTTGTCAGACTGGATTAAAAAAAAAACAAAACAGCTCCTTGCTGTTTATAAGAGACCCTCCTAAAACACAGTGCCAGAAAAAGGATGAAAAGTAAATGATGAAAAAATTCCAAGCAAATCAGAAGAAAGATAGTATAGCTATATCAATTTTGGACAAGCAGACTTTAAGGCAAAAAGAATGACTAGGTACAAAAAGCACCTATATAACGACTTAATATATATTATATAATGGTAAAAGTCAATTTACCAAGAAGACAAGACAATTCCAATTTTTTTATGTACCCAATAACATATCTTCAAAATCAATAAAATAAATTTTGGCAGAACTACAAAATTATATACCTATCATCACAGGGGAAGATTTGTATGCACTTCTCCCAGTAATTGAAAGGTCAAATAATCAAACGAGCAAAAAGTAAAGACATAGAAAATTTAAACAACACAATTAACAAGCTAACTATAATAAATCTTGCACCCTGTAGAACCCTGCATGAACAGCTGAAAAGACATAAAACATTTATGAAAACAGATGTATTAATAAGAAAATAAATCTCAACAAATTTTAGAATTGATCTGATAAAAATCACCTTTTCTCACCAGACTGCAATTAAATTTAGAAAACAATGACAAAAGTTAGCTAAAACAAAAAAATAGCATACAGTTGGAAATTTAAAAGTACATTTAAAATAAATAAGAGGTCAAAGAAGAAATTGTATTAGAAATTTAAAAATGCTTAAACAGAAAGAAATGAAAAATTACACGTGAAAATTTGGGGGATGTAACTAAAATGGTGCTCAGAAGGATTTTTGTGTCATTGAATTCAAACACTACACAAGAAGTAAGGCTGAATTTTTGTGAGCTAAGCAGGTGGTTTCCTTAAAGAATAATAGTTGCTTGCTAAAAGAGGTGTGATCTTTTTCAAAATCTTCAGTCCTGGCACTGTGATTTTCCTGTCGTGACATGCACAGACTTCTTAGAGCAACCAGGTAAGCTCAGACTGTTTGAGAAGCATTAGATCTGCTGAGGCAGCAGAACCATAACTATTTGTAGTGTTGTCTGGACCAGCTAGAGAACATTTTGGCTCCAGGCAAAAATCAAACCTGGCAGCTTTCTCTGTCACTTGGTAAATGTACTGGAGCAGGATAACAGGAAATTATAAATGCTGCCTCCAGGATTCAGAGATGCTCAGCAAGTATTGTACCACCTTCTTTGGGGTTGTGGGCAAAAGACAGAATATCTTTTCCATGACATGGGTGAAAGTACCTTGACACACTCTAACCAACTAAAGGCATAACTTCTGCAATGTGGCAGGATCTTATATTTTCATGGATTTTTATATTCAAATGCTACAAATATGTGTCATGCCTGGCATCCTGGGTGTCTGCTATTGTCAGCTCTCTGGATCCTATTGGCATGCCATCATCAGTGTAGTGAATTAGTGTGCTGCCCTGGAGAAGAATAAGGCAGTCAGTCACGTGTGGCAAAGAACAAGAGTTAAATATCCTGACCTGGAATAGCAAATGTGTACTGCCATCCCTATCAAATGCAAGCAAATGCTTCTACTATTTTCTTAAATTATTTACATCCATTAAAAACAACCATACCATCCGTCCTGATTCCCATTTTCTACATTCCCTTTAGAATGGTTGTGCAGTACCTGCACGGTCCCCTAGAACCTCACTCTCAGGAGGGCATATGGTCCCAGATGGCCACAGGTAATAACAGTTTGCCATTGTGTACCATAAGCTAATACCTTCCCATCTTGGAATATAAAATATGATTCTCTTTTACTTCATCTTACGCTTATAACCAAGTCCTCTGCAATCCATTCTGTGGTTATGATTTCTGAATCAGTTAAAGTTCTTATGTGGCAAGCAACAGAAACAGACTCTGACTAATTTAAACAACATGAAAGGATTTATTTGAGATTCTGGAAAGCAGCCAGCATCAAAACAAAAGATGAACAATGAATGCTTGGGGAGGATAGGAACCAGCACAGTTTTACAGATCTCATCCTTGGGAAGTCATCAACCTTTCTTCTCAGGGTGTGTCTGTTTCAAAGACAATTCTGGGAGAAAGAATAGACTGACTCAGGATTATATGGCATATAGAAGAACAAGTGCCTAAAGGGAGTGATATTGAGCAGGAAAACACAACATATTATATAACACAATAATATAATAACATAATAATACATTCAAATCCAAGTCCATTTTTGGAAATATGGAAGTTCAGAAAATGGGGAGATGGGATTTTACCAAGTTTAACTAACCAAAGATTTTCACTGTTATTATTTTTCTAAATAATATTTTCCTCAATAGATTAGGAAAAACACTACAGATAATTTGAAATAATTCAAATGGATACAATAGATTAAATGCCAAAAAGCTTGCAGATACAAACAATCTTAACGTTTTGCTGATACTCATACTTTCATTAAAATTTTTAAGTTAAAAGTTTTTTCTGACTAGAAGCATGCTGGTTACACTGCAGAAATACGAGCAACATAAGGCAAGTGTTTCCTATAATTCTGACTCCCTGAGTTAACCACTGTTAAAAGTTTGAGGGTTTTTTTGCATCATTTCTACACATGCATATACTAAAATATGTTATTTATTTAATGAAAATTGAATTCTGCTGTTCCTTCATTAAATATTGTTTTACTTTTATGCCATTAACTCTGTATCTTGGAAATTATTTCCATAGCAGTACATATACTCTAACCTCAGTCTCTTCAACAGCCCTATATCATTCTATTGAATAGACATACCATAATTTCCTGAACTAATCCTATTGATGGACATTTAAATTGTTTAAGATTTTTCACTATTACAAACAGTGCTTCGGTGAAAAATCCTTGACATATATCTATGCTGAATTATGTTTCTGAATCAGTATTTCTATAGAAATACACATATGTAATAGATTGACATCATAGTGTATATGTTTATATCTTGCTTTATTAGTTAGCACATCACAAACTTTTCAAATGCTATCAAAATCTATGTGAGTTAAAAGTAATATTTATATAATATTCCATTTCATACAGATATTATAATTTAATTTATATAGTGGTTCCCACATTTGAGGTTTTTAGGTTGTTCCCCAGTTTGATTAATAAAAAGAATTCTGCATTGACCATTCTAGTTTCAAAAGCTTTATTTACATCTCTGAATAATTTTAGGGGCTATTCCTGGAAGTGAAATCACTGGAACAAATAATATAAACATTATTTAAGGTTATTGATGTATATTGACAAATTATGTTTTAAAAAGTGTGTAGAATTCATGTTGGCACTGGCAATATGAGTGCCTGTATTGCTGGACCCTTACCATTGATTATATTGTTAATATCTTTTTCTGCACATAGTTAAAAATATAAGTATGATTATATTGTATCATTTATTCACCTAACATAGTAATATAAACAATTTGCCAATGTGTTTCAAGCTCTTGGTAAATTTCTTTTCATATTATACTACACAAGCGGACCATGATTTGATTCATGCCATTGTTGGATATTTAGATAATTACTTGATTTATCCTTTTACAAATGATGGAACCCTGAACATCTGAAAACACTAAAAAATGTTATTTGGGTCCTATTTGCATGATGATTCTTTCACTGAGTAGACCAGAGCAACATCCCTTATGAGATAGTGAAATGAGCAAGATCTCTGCGGACTGAATCCTTGCACAGAGCTGTTATAATTTTGAAGTAAGAAAACGAATTTTTTCTCCTGTCCCTGTGAGGTGAAAGCAAACTACTTCTGGTGCTCTTTCCTGATTTGGGGAGGGGGAAAGACATCAGTCAGATCATTGGCTATAATTTCAGATGATGCTGGAGGCCGTTTTGATTTGCATTAGAAAAGAGACTACATTTGAAACAGCAGCTGCAATGGGAGTCACCACAGAATTTTATGATAATCCACTTAACTATCCAAGGCTTATTTTGCACTAGCCAAAGAGGCAGTTTAAACAGGGATGTGCTAAGAATAATTATTCCTGCTTCTTGCATGTTTTTGGTGGTGATACAAATTTCAGATTTCTCTAGAAATGAGGTGTTGCTGTGGCTTTGCCTTTTGGTAGGAAGAACTTCAAAGACTTCCACTTAGCCCTTCCTACAATTATAGTATATATTCCACAGAGCAGAAGGTCAATGTGAAAATTCTGCCAGTCCTGAGTACTTGTATTCCAACTCTACATTTTTTCACTCAGGAAACAACTATGGAATGGGCTAGGAGTCCCAGTGAACCCACCATGAGGCGTACTCAGATAAAAACTCTATTTATCACCAAATCCCAATAAACTCCCACCCTTACCAGGAGTCCATAGTAACCTTCTGGATCCCATCTAGTCTATGCCATAATAATCCTGGTAAATAAACACAAGTCCCTTAAGGGAAGTCTAGGAGGATGATTTACAGAATGTATTGGTGATGTTATTGCTGGTGTCTTCTTCAAGAGTTTCTTTTCTTTTTCTTCAAGAAGCTCTACCTCAATGAATTTAGGATGGGAATTAGGTGAGGGGGCAGTAACATTCCATCACTTAAGTGAAGTGATTAAGTTAAGCCTCTTTTGCTAGGAATTTAGTGGGCACTTTGGTCCTTGGGTTTATGTCATCTAGAACCATTCTGACTATTATTATTACTACAATCCTGCTGTCTATTATAGTAATCATGCCCACTTTGTTTTTTAAGTATATTTTCCGGCCACTGCCTAGGATCTCATTAATCTCACTGAAATCAAGGAGCCCATTTCAATGGCAGAATTACCCACCTGCTTCACCAGATGACTGAAAACAGTCACTACAGCACTTTGAAAATTCTGATCTATCCCTCACCATTGTACTTCTCAATGCTGCAACAAAGAAAATGTATTCAGAGTCCTCTTATTAGACACAATTAAAGGATGAGTGAGTAGATGGATTTAATAAATCCATTCTAGCATTCCTAACTCCCTTCCTCTATTTTATAAAAAGGAATTTCTTGCAACTTCATTCTATTTAGTGTTGGCCACCACTGAGTCTAGGTTTCAGATAACTGAGCGAGCAAACTAGAATCACTCTCATCTGCTTGGCACCTAGCAATAAATTCTGTTGTATCTAAAATTATTCCTCTTTCCCTAGTCTAACACTCTCAGAACACATTAGCATTCATATTCTTCAGGTTTTTGCCATATAAATAAATGAACAAAGTCTTTTGTTGTGTGAGCTCTCCTTCAGGGTTTGACTTTGTGATTGACCTCCAGGTACCTGCTGGGGTTTACCCTAATTGTAGATACAGAGGCAAATGAGAAGTGATAGAAATGAGGCATGAAGCAATTTGGCCACCTCCTACAAGGTATCTGTCTGAGGCAAGGTCATTATAAGATCTCCAAGCAAAGCAGGAACATCTTTATCAGATGTATGGGGTGGGGGACTTCTGTTCTGCTTGCCAGGAATGCTCAGTGGAGTGTGGAGTAATCTAAGCCATCCAAATTCTCCTCCATTTCTCCATTTCAATTCTTGTCTTCCATTCTATCCCAATTAGTATCCTAATTTTGCATGAGGTCTGGTGATGCTGTAAATCCAATTTAACTTCGTAATTCACAGGATCAGATTTTGAGTTTGATTTTATGCCAGCTCAGTTCTGAGGCAAATAACCCAAAAGTTCTTTTAGCATAGTTAGAGACAACTCCTGGTTTTCTACCCTGAGCCAAGAATTTTTATCTTAAGCCTAAGTCATTATCTTTCTCTAATGTTCTTCACACTTAAAGAAAGAATGAAGTCACTTGTCACCCAAAGCCTTGCTTCAACAGGCACTCTCTTACAGTTGGCATAAGTAATAATTTGAGTAACTCTTTCGCCTCTGCATACCATAGTCTACCTGAAAAATACTCTCACTGAATCCTCAGTGCCTTCAGATCCAACTAAGCCCAATAACAATTTCCTTGAGGATCTGGGGCCTGAAACTCTTCCTCATAACAATTTTCTGTATCAATTAGTTTTTCTTTGCAGCTATACAGTCCATTATAACTAGTTTATCAGAGAAGCAATTTGTTAAGGGATTTTGGACTGGTCTCCTAAATAGAAGCAGTAGTTTCGAAAAGAGGAAGATGCTTTTAACACAAGCACGATGCTGGAAATTGATTCATGTGATTTCATACTTAGAGATTATCCTGAAACAGCAGCTGTTAGCTCCTCCCACTCCTCCAAACATGACAGAACACAGTTATGACGTAAACTCTATTCTTCATTGAATAGACTCATCTTCATTTCTGTGGGGCTTAAATCCTTAAATACTTAGTGGTCCTGCCAGTAAAGGATTGCAATAGTCTGCTGATAATTTTGACCATTGCACATGGTATACAACAAAGGGTCCCTAGGGATCTCTTGTGTTCCATTTGTACTTCTCCTAGCATCTATTATGAAACAGCAACCCTATTTCCTTTAGATAGTCAGGGTCAGTTAGTAGATCCCACCTCCCCTGCTACCACCTGTGTGTTTAGTGCTGGGTTTCTCGACCTCTGCACTATTGACATTTGGACTGGATAATTCTTTGTCATGAGTGGCTGTCTTGTGCATTTAAAAATGTTTAGTAGTATCCCTGGCCTCTACCCACTAGATGCCAGCAGCAACCCTACTCCCATCTCTCAATTATGACAACCAAAAGGTCTCCAGACCTTGCCAAATGTCTCCTGGGAGGAAAATCACTTTTTGTTGAGAGCCACTGGGTTAGTGGTTTAAGGAGTCCCAAAAGAACAGGTGAGAGTCTCAGTCTAGTTTCCCTTAGTGAATGCTCTTCTTTCCTGTTACTATCACTTCTTGACCAGCAAAGCCTATGCTTGAAACGTCGAAGATCTTCCAAACGGCAACCACATCAGAAGTATTGAAGGGCAATTTACCACTAAAGTGCGAAGGGGTAATTCATGCAAGGAAAGAATGATGGGCAGAACAAAGGGACAGAAGTTCACTTCATCCACTTTACATTAAGCAGTAACCTTATTATAGAAAATTTGAACTATAGTGAGAAGAGGGGGAAAAATCCCCATATCCCAACGTGCAAAGACAAACACATAATATTTTTCTA